TAGTTTCTCATTTCTTCACTCATTCAATGAGGAATAGATACTGGACAGTGATGACCTACCAGGTACTATGGTAGATGCTAGAGATACAGGAGAAGTAAGGCAAGGCCTCTGGGCTGGGAGAATCCTCTCTATCAATGGGGAGGGGCATAGGAGAGGGACCGGTAAGTGAGAAGGTTGAGGAGGGGTATGCCTATAAAACCAATTATTACAATATAAATACTTGTGGATTTTAGTCTTTTAAAAACATCTGTGTAGGGCACCTGGGTGGCTCAGTCATTAAGCATCTGCCTTCAGCTCAGGTTATGATCCCAGGGTCCTGGGATCGAGCCCCGCATTGGGCTCCCTGCTCCGCGGGAAGCCTGCTTCTCCCTCTCCCACTCCCCCTGCTTGTGTTCTCTCTCTCACTGTGTCTCTCTCTGTCAGATAAATAAATAAAATCTTAAAAAAAAAATCTGTGTAATTGAGATATGACTGACATTATTTAAGTCTGAGGTAGCCAACCCAACCTGTTGGTTTGATACATTTATATATTGCGATATCATTGCTACAGTAGCTTTAGCTAACACCTTTACCATGTCACATAATTATCACTTCCTTTATGTACTGAGAACAGGTGAGATCTAGTCTCTTAGCAACATATGTCAATCAAGGTCAGGAACTGGTTAATAAGGATGATCACCTCTTCTAACTTCAGGTTCTTCTTCCTCCTTATTGAATTGTGAGTTAAAAAACAAATGCCCCCCACCCCACCCCAAACTCTCAAACATGAGAATTCTTAATAGAATGCCTGACCCATACAAGGGCTCAATCAATGTATTATTCGGGAACACATGATTTGAGTTTTCTGCTCTGAAGCCAAGTCAAGGACATATCCACTACTTAAAAATGATTATATCCTATATCTAGAAAGATAAGAGCTCAGAACGTTTACTTAATAACCAGAAAGTAAAGGTTACTTTTCTTTGCACTTCCTCCTATTCCTGGTTGTCCAGTTACACCAGAAAAAGGGCAGGAAAGGACAGCATAAAGAGGTTCTAACAAGTAACTTCTCACTGCTGCATCCAGTCAATTTCACGTACGGATACAAACTTCAAAGTATTTTTTCTTTTCTTCATACTCATTTCAAGACTGACAAAGCCCTGACTTTATCCAGGTAAATTTAACTGGGACGTGGAAGAGTGGGAAGGGTAGATGCATAACTTAAAGGAACAACAGGGAAAGATCAAGGTTTTTTTTTTAAAGATTTTATTTATTTATTTGTCAGAGAGAGAGAGAGAGAGAGAGAGAGTAGAAACAGGGGGAACGGCAGGCAGAGGGAGAAGCAGGCTCCTTGCTAAGCAAGGAGCCTGCCTCAGGACTGATCCCGGATCATGACCTCAGCCGAAGGCAGACACTTAAAACGGTGGAACCACCCAGGCGTCCCAAGGGTTCTTTATCTTAGCACTAGATCAAGGATGTAATGTCACTGTAGCAAGAAACTACCAGAGACAACACATGCAAATAAGCTTGGCTGTGTTCCAATAAAACTTCATTTATGGATGGTGAAATTTGAATTTCATGTAATTTTTATTATGTCATGAAATATGCTTCTTTTAATTTTTTTCCAACCACCGAAAAATGTACAATCCATCCTAAGCTCGTGGGCCATACAAAAACAGGCAGTGGGCCAGATCTGGCCAATGTTTCTATGTAAACTATGTTTTGGACCTAGCCAGCAAAGACTTGAATTTTGAGGTGTCACCAATCAGTTATTTACAGATCCTTTACATCTAAGGCAAAACAAAAGTGACTTTGAGAATTTTAAGGGTATGTGTGTGTGTGTATGTATTGTTTAGGTGTGTTTTTCATTCATGTTTCCTCAAAAAACAAACAGGATGCAACATAGTTTGAGAGATGGAATAAATAGCTAAGAATTGAGTGTGTGTGTGTGTGTGTGTGTGTGTGTATCTATCTTAGATGTGATTTTTGAGTATCAAAAATTCCAAGGAAAAAAAGGTGAATGCTTTGTAGAGGTGTAGGGCTCAGAGTTCTGAGCCCACTGACATAAAAGTGTGAGCTACTTTGTGCTAAGGAGCCCACTGTTTAAATTCGAAAGTTAAACCAGTTCTATCCGGGTCATGAGAGATGGCCCTAAAGACAATCTATGTGTATACAGTGCCTTTATACAGAGTCTTTGAGTATAAATGAATAACCATGCTTTATCTAAATCCTTAACATTGAGCTTCATAAGGGAAAATAATTTCCAATTATTTCTTAGGCATGTTAGAATCTAGCCAAAATTAAGGACATGCTCTAGAACTCAAGACAAAGGTCCACCGGACACTTTTTCTACTAGGAGTGACAACTACTATTTAAATAACATAAATTGCCATAGCATAACCCTCGAATGTAGAGAGTAATGTTCTATTGTACAAAGTATGCAAGTGTAGTAAGTTTTGGGTTATATTTTGTGCTTTAAAATAAAAATCTATAAAGTCAGTGTTTTTCATGCTGACCTTCACAAGTCTGAAGCCAGAGTTGTTTGTTTTCATGTCTTTCACGATGCTCCTTAAACACTTGTGTTTTGTTTCAGAGCACAATCTTTTTAACTTACAAGAAAAACGTTTTTTGGCAATGAGCACAGCTCTTTTAGTCTCTGATAGTTCTGTTCGAGTCCATAAACATGCCAAGAAAGTGAACAAAGAGTGAGAAGGAATGCAGCAGGAATGGGTCTTGTGCAATATGGAGACGGTGTGAAAGATGTTTGATATTTTACGCATTCAAAGTCAAACAACTGCTCACAGGAAAAGCACCTGTTGGTCATGTTCATGTGCCAAAACCTTGGTGTGCCTTGAGGGGAAGAACTGTGCCTAATTCATCACTGCATCTTTAGCACAGAGTAGGCACCCAATAAAAATTAGTTAAATAATGCACAAAAGCCATTAACCTTACAGCACTACACATGATGATAATGCCCCTGCCTCAGTAGGTTGGGGGTGAGGATTTTGAGATAGTAAATGATGTTGAAGAAGGGCAGTTATTTTTAACCTCATTCCTCCCCCCACCCCCAGGAGGAACAAACTGAAGTTCAACAAGCTTACATAACTTGTCCAAATGAGTGGTGCTGAAATGGGTGCGCCTACCCTCCCTGATTCCTGTTAGCTAAGAAACCTGAGGCTTCCTATAAAATTAGAAAAACAAACAACCTGACTGCCTAAATTAACAAAAAGTCCACGGAAAAACAGACAATTGCCTACTTTTCCTAGCTAAGCGCTGCACTTCTAAAATAAGGAATGATGGTCGTTCTCTCTGCATTAGAGGCCAGAGAAATGGCAGAAACATGAGTCCCTTATTATCACCAGGGAACTACATGACCAGAATGGATGGAAAAATATTTCTCCTTACCTCAGTGTAACAAGCAATACTTCTTAAGAATTATTCTTCCTCCTCTGATTTCAAGTCAAGACAAAAGAAAAGTATCTAGTTGTTTCAAAGGTCATTATAATTATATAAATAACTACCTCCCTGGGCATACAAGCAATTTTATTCACTTTGTTACTGTCTGAAAATAAGTAAAATATGGTTGGTCTCAAATCTTGTTTTACATATCTCAATTTTTTAAAAAAGGACCCCAAATCTGAAATCAAAACTGTTTCTGGTAACTTTTCCCTCTTGGATCAAGAGTAGATTGGAGTCTACAAGTAAATGTTGACTTCAGAGGCTACTTCCCAAAGCCTTACCTGGTTAACAAGAGAGAACTCAGTATTTTCACTAAACCTTATAAAATTTGTAACAAGTCAAACTCTGAAGGTTTTAAATTCCGTCTAATACAATCAATTCAAAATTAATACATCAAATGTACCTAAGAGACACCTGATATAGTATGAAATAAATTCTAATAATGTTAGTATCAATCACAGTTCTTTAATGCTACTATTCTCTTCAAAAGGTAATGAAAGAGCCGATAATTTTCAAGTAAATGTTTCCCTCCCAAACTACAGCTCTCATAGTATATGTAGTGGATATAAGACAAATACAAACTAAGCTAAAAGAAGTTTAAAAAAGTTTCCTTGACAATTTCTTCCCTGTCAAATGTCAAATATAAAATTTAAAAGAAACTCTAAAAATGAAGCTATTTATGGAAAGAAAACAGTACACAGCATATAAATATCCCTCCATTTAGTTGAAATATTCAAATACTTAAATCAAGAGTCCATAAACAAATTTAAGGACTATAGAGTAAATGTAATAAAAAGAAAAGGAAGTCTCTCTTTACTGCAGCCTCCTGTCAGCAGTAAAACAGGAACACTACATCTCAGAAGCAGAAAATCTAAACATATTTTAAATATGGGTTAATGTTGCAGGGATTTTTTAGAACCTAAAATCCAAAAAGAATTCTCAATAACTGTAACAAACACTAAAACTGTATTGTTAGAGGCAAATTAACTTTGAAAACAAGCAACCCCCCCTCAACCTTTTAGTTAAGATGGTGTCCAGATTTTTGATGTCCTTCCTTCCTAGGTTACATTCAGTAGTTTCTGCATTCCTTTGCTGAATTCATTTCAATAACAAAGAATCCTCTATGAAACCCACCCAACCCCCACCCAAAACACCACAAACTAATCTCACCACCAAAATTCAAAGAAAAATTCCACACAGAAACTATGTTCTAATAGGCCAAAGCAATCTATCTTTAAACTAAAGGGTAAAAAAATCAATTGTTTCCAATTTTAAATATTACTTTGATGATTATATAATTTTTTAAAGACATAGCACAGCAGGTTGGGGGGAAAGCTAAAACCACTTACAGGATTTGTGAAGAAATGGAAAAATGAGTTCTAGTTTTGCACAGTTCCAATCCAGCACAATCTTGGGACTGTGTTCAATCTTTAATTACAGACTGAGAGGTTCCAGTGGAACCTCTTCAACGTGTATTCCCCACTACTGCATCCACTTAGGCATGAATCTTGCCGCAATCACTAGGTGCCTTGACCTCCAGCCAACCATGACTTTGCACTCACCTTAGCTCTTCCTCCGGTAACCCATTTAGTCTCACACTATCAGGGCGATCTCGTCTTCTCCGGTAGAGACCTGAGTGTGACAGCTCTTTAAGCTGTAATGCAGTCATACTTCTCTCTACACATCAGTTAACTGACAGTATGAAGCATTTATGCTGAGCAACGTGGCTGCCAGGGTTCAGAAAGAGTATATCTCTTGCCGGGACCTCAGCACACCTGACCAGAGTTGGAAACCTCCAGGCAAGCCTGGCTAAGCACAGCTTCCTGTTTCTCTGCTGGTACACACCCTCGTCAGCAAGGCCTGGCCCGCCTTATCTCTGGGCCTTGCACCTTGGGGGGGGGGGGGAGTCCGTGACCAGGGTGCTCACATGTTTACTAATAAGCAAAGTTTAATTGTTATGAATAATCACACCAATTCCTTTATAAATCTTTCCAGAATCATTTTGAATTAAAATTGGGCTAAAAAGCTCCAGTAAGGTAATGACTAAAGAAGGGTCCTGCCCTATTTTATTTGCCAGGAAATCCACTAACACTGCACAAGCATTTGTCAGTTTAAAGAAGTGCCTGGTCATCATGAGCTCTTTGGGATATTTTCCTTAAAAAGAAAAAAAAAAAAGGGCAGAACTGTGAGGCTTCCCTCACAGTACAATTCCTCTCTCCCCACTCTACTTTAAATCCTCTTTAGAAAGGAAGGAAATGTCTTTTCTTTTCCCCTGAATATTATTCAAAAATTCCTAACTGAAAGGAACTGAAAGTGGTTTCTTCTATCAACCTCCACTCAATGATTTTCTAAATGTAACTACCTATTCTAAAAATTCCCTCTTACCAAATGTGCACCTCAGTATAATCAACTCATCTGCCTAAAGGTGTTTTGGGTGCCTGTGCTGCCCTGGTAGTTGGCTGCATATTTGATCCTAGATGGTAAAGTTAGAATGGCGTTTTGTTTTGGTGTGTGTGGGGTGTAGGTTGAGTTTCTGCAAGAGGGGTTTGCAGATAATGGAGGACAGAGAACTGTCGAACAAATCCTCTATTGTTATGGCTCCAAATGATGTTGGTGCAACAGCATGCAAGGTTCTAGCCTCCAATTCTGATTCAATCCCACTCAATACACATCACCATCTCACAGATACAGGTTAGATCCTTGGAAAGTTCTTAGCTAATAATTTGACTTCATGGTTCTAATAATTTCTCCTTGAGTAATCTGTATTAGCTTCTTTCCCTTCTAGAATCCATTCAGTAAGAACACAGAGAGGTGTCTCTGAAACTTCTTTTTGCACCAAGGGTTACAGAGTTAATGTATCCCCTGAGAGTATCTATATTATAAATACAAGGTTAAGGCCCCACAAGGAAAGGGGAGCCTATATCTTACTCCTTCACTGGGGACCTGCAGATGCCAGCTCCCCTCAGGGCTACAATCTGTCACCCTGCTTCCGACACCCCAGTGAAAAACAGCTTCTTAAAGCTGCCATCAGGATGTAACGTGCGTTTTTAAAGATGCAAGAAGTTACTAATTTTGTTATAACACTAGACTTAAATAGTCACGAAACACACAAAAAAATCAAGTGACAAATGTATCTGTTTCTCTTCCTGGAAGGGTACACACATAAAAAGGGGTGGTACTGGGGGGCCTCTGGGCAACATGGGGACAGGAGCAGAAGAAAACTTTCTGTTACAAAGTTCTGCTCTGAACTTTGAATATTCTGCCTATTTAAAAATAAATAAAAAAATTTAGATGATTTACATATGTCTTTCGTACAAAGCCCTAGGATCCTACTGAGACCTAAAATACAGAAAAATTTAAAGTTCACAGTAACAGAAACCTATAAAATTAAGATTCCTAAAGTGTCTAATTCTCACATTTTTGTCAAGACAGGTGTGAAAAACAAATGAAGAGAAATAACCACCAATCTTCAGTTTCTTTTTACTCAAGGCATCAGGACAGAACAGATGCCTGATGAATAAATCACAAATTAATTTGTATTTACTACAAACACAGAGACCTCAACATTATTTTTTTTCCTGTTTCAAGTATTTATTTAAATCCCAGTTAGTTAACATACAGTGTAATATCAGTTTCAAGAAACCTCAACATTAAATAGTACTTGGTTCTACAAAAGATATAAATAAGAGAGCTTGATTTTTAAAAGAGCTTTAAAAGAAGTAATGCAGCATGCTGACAAGGAAAAAGTGCTTGGCAACTACTAAAGGTTAATAAGACAGGAAACACCTCTCTGTGTAGGACGAATCCTGTATTTGATGAGTCTAAGGTTAAAAGGATGTGACCAGAAAAAAAAAAGTTCCAAGCTATATAACAAACAAACTGAAACAATTCTTGCCCTCTGACTTTTAAAATGGCTGTAATGACGAATGGGAATTTCAGTAAATCAATGCTTACAGTCTAACGAAATTGTCACAACTGAGTAAAACTAAATTCTGAGGTTTAGGGCAAAGCTCTTCTCACAATGTCTTTTCACTGAGGAGAGGCTTCCTCTTTGTCCCTAGCACTCTTTCGGGTGTGCTCTGAGATTCTACTGAGCTGTAAGTAGAACCAGGGGAAGGATACACGGGCACAGCTACGCACCTGCACAATTTCTGAAAGGGAAATTCATAAATGCCGCAAAACACACCACTGAACGACCAGTTCACGAAGCAGCCAGATCATCAAGTCCTCTCCTCACAACAGTGTTCCTGAACTTCAGCACCAAGGGAGGGAGAGAACACCTCTGGAACACACAACAGGGCAGTAACTGGCAAAGGTGGTCTCATATCTTTTTTTTTTTTTTAAACTTTCATACTTTTCCATAGAAACAGAGCTATGAATGGTGCCTTCTGTTGACAGTCAGAGGGAGGTCTATGCAAGTGCATTTTCTCTGGTCTCTAATACAGGGAAACATTTCATTTTAGCACTCCAAACGTCTCTGAAAGCCAGTCTAGCCTCCCACTCAATGCAGAATTCCCTACTTTCATTCTCCACACGACCTCCCTCCTACACAGTTATCATTTGCCTGGGATTCTGCCTCTTAGAGGCTTCCAGGGATGAGGTGCTCACTACTACATAGAACTCCTGGGGCTTTCCCTAGCCCCCATGCCCAATGGTTGTTAAGGAACAACAGCTCACAAAAGTTATTAAGGTGAGCATCTTTTATCCCACTTCCACTATAGTGCAGCTGGTCTGTGAACCTAATTACAACTTTTTGTTCACATCTATCCAAACTGTTGGGTTCTCTCTGAATCTGTACTTTGACATAATTAGATACCTGGCATAATTAGATATCTGTTCCAGCTTAACCTCATCAGAATAGCTGATAATTTCTTTTATGAGTTTAAGCCCTTGACTGATATGACTAAATACAAAGTTCTTTGGAGCATCCATCACACAGGTCTTGTTCTTCCAGGCTAATATCTAACCCAGTGGTTTTTGACCTTTCAGAGGGTCAGGGACCTTTTACAAATCTGATGAGAGTAAATGACTCTCAGAAAATGCATGTGAGCACAGAGTTTTATAATCGTTTCAGGGAATTGATTGTTTCTTCAGAAGCCAAGAGATGGACTTTTCCTTGGATCTTCTGATTTGCACTGCTCTCCCCCTTCTCTGAAAACCAGCAGCACTTCAGAGCAGGACTTTGGATCTCATCTGTTCATTTAGTATGTATTTACTCAGTGCGCTGCACTGGGCCAGACAATTTCAAAAGAATTCCTTTGTCTCCCCTTCATTTCTCCTAACCAATCTTTCTGCCACTGAGCTTACCCTCTTCCAGTCTATCCTCCAAACTTCAAAGTGCTCTTTCAAAATAAACTGATCATGTATTGATCCTGCTGAAAAACTCTTGAATGGCTCATTGTCATGGGTCACCAACCAAACCCTGCTGAGCCTGCGCCCTGCTCACACCTGTACTGAACTCCAGGTGGTTCCCAGGACAGACTTCACTTCCTCTCACTTCCTGGCCTTTCCACATGCAGCTTCATAAGACTAGAAGATGGACCAGCTCCTAATCATCCCACTGGGACTCATCTCTTACAAGAAGCATTTCTAGACCCTACGTACCCACAGTTCCCTTTCTGTTGCTCCCAGAGTGTCTCCACCCCCACCACCGCCCTCACAACTGCGCTTGCTTCCTTCTGTCATCATAATCACACAGCCTCATGATAGGTTGTTTCTCTACCCACCTCTCCCCTTAGGATAACAGGTCTGCGAGGGTAGCAATATATCTAATTTACAACCATGTCCATAAGGCCAGATACATGGTAGACATTAGTTAAATAAGTTCTTTGATTTAGTGGTTCAACCAATTGATTTTGAGAGCCTAATCACTTTACAACGCTACCTGTGAGATTCAAGCTCCAGATTTCTGAAACTTTTTTTTTGCATTTAACACTCAACATTACCTAAAGGAGATTTTTAAAAAAGATTTTATTTATTTATTTGCGAGAGAGAGAGCGAGAGAGAGCAGGAGCAGTGGGGGAGGGGCAGAGGGAGATGGAGAAGTAGGCTCCCAGCCAGGCCCAACGCCAGGACCCTAGGATCATGACCTGAGCCGAAGGCAGAAGCTCAGAAAACTGAACCACCCAGTCACCCCCTAAATGAGATTTTAAAAGGCACATCTATTCCACAGTTTAGCAAAAATTTACTTTCTTGGTGAGACTGTAAAAACTCAGAAGCTTTTCATATTTGTAGAGTTGAACAGTACCTCCCACAGTATAAACACTTTCTATTTGGGATAAAAATAAAAAATTTAGCCTAGATTTTTGCATATACTTGACATGGTCCAGTTTTTTTAAGTTGAAGTATAATTAATATATTAACTAATATTAGTTGTGAGTGTACAATATGACTCAACAATTCTATACATGACTCAGTGTTCATCACAATAAGTGTACTCTTATGACATAGTCCAGTTTTTAGTGTACTTTTAGTGTCCAAGTACTCCTTCAGGCATGACAGGGTAAAGAAATCTAGTTAAACATCAAACCTCTAAAACTGATCATTAGTGTTACTGAACATTGTCAGTCTTCTTCCTATACAGAAATAAGACAGCAGCAAACTGGCTTCCGTGGCAGAGTTAGAGTTAACTGGGCCTCATTAGCAGTACCTTTTGTACTAGCTACTAAGAGAGCCTGTAAACTGGTCGAACAGCTGTACATTTCGGGCTATTCATTTCCCTGTGTGACATATAGTAAGAGAAGAATTTTATGTTTTGCAATTAACTCTGAACTTAATGGAAATGAATCTTTTTTGGTTTAAAT